CTCTCTCTATATATATATATATATATATATATATATATATATATATATATATATATATATATATATATATATATATATATATTAAAAGCTCAAGTAACTTTTAAAGTTTGTTCTCTTTCCACCTGAAGTTGATTTCTCAAAAAATGAGCTTACAGTCAGATTGTGTTTGGGTGTAGTACCAAACTCTTATGACCAGTTGTTTATGATATTTCCACTGCTATTCAAAGTTCATAAGACAAATTAAATCCTTAAGAGTTAAGAGAATATTTCTGCTGCGAAATAATGAACAGTTCCTATTTCAATTTTTGTGAAAATCGGTCACCAAATATGAAAATCACAGTTTGTAAGCTTTCATGAATATTACCTTTTATTGTTGTCAATATTACTTTAGGTTAGGACTAAGGTACTGTTTTAACTGTATGGGAAATGTCCCACCTGTCAAATTGTTTTGATTATGTGCAAATTAAATTCATTCATTCATTCATTCATTTTCTTGTCGGCTTAGTCCCTTTATTAATCCGGGGTCGCCACAGCAGAATGAACCGCCAACTTATCCAGCAAGTTTTTACGCAGCGGATGCCCTTCCAGCCGCAACCCATCTCTGGGAAAGCAAAATACATTTTTTAGCTTAAAGGAAAACTACTCCGTAAGATAACGAATTATTATGAAAGCAATGCAATTTTAAATTCAAGCAGGTTTAAGCACTTTGTCCAAAACCCAAGCACTTCTCAAACCTTAAAAACACTATATAAAAAAATCAAGCATTTTCCAGGATTTCCAGCACCTGTAAGAACCCTGCTGTAGTTTTTCTCAGAAATTCTAATGCTTTAGTAAGTACATTAGGATGGCACAGTGGCTCAGTGGTTAACACTGTTGCTTCACAGCTAGAAAGTCACTGGATCGAGTCCCAGCTGGGCCAGTTGGCATTTCTGTGTGGAGTTTGCATGTTCTCCCTGTGTTGATGTGGTTTTCCCCCACAGTCCAAACACATGCGGTATAGATGTCCGCGTGTGAATGTGAGAGTGTATGGGTGTTTCCCAGTTCTGGGTTGCGGCGGGAAGAACATCCGCTGCATAAAACATATGCTGTAAAAGTTGGCGCTGTGGCGACCTCTGATTAATAATAGACTAAGTCAAAAGAAAATGAATGAATGAAGTACTTTAAAAACACTGTGTACTTTTACTTGAGTATATTTTAGTGTTGTATTGTCCCTTTAGTCTCTACTTTATTAAAATGTGATGCACAATTTGAATGATGAACAACATATTGCGTAAAATGTAGACAGAATAAGAACATACCATCCTAGGACAAAGTCACACACATTGTAGCACTCCTGGTCAGAGGGGTTAGAAAACCACAAGAAAATCTTTTTTCTCCTGCCAGAAATGTATCTTTACTGGAGTTTGGCACAAATGTGAGCGTATGTGCTCTGGCTAAGTAGAATAATCAGTCCCATGATTTCCATCCAACCAAAAATCGCAGACACAAAAATTTAATCAGATTTAACAACCTCAAGACACTGACAATTCATAAATGCAGCAAACATGTAGTGTGAAAGCATTAAATTAGTGTCCAAGAAGATGCTACAACCTGGCGTACTTTGCGCCAGGTTTCACCCTCACGTTTGGATTTACTAACGCTGAAATCAACGTGGGAATGTGCGTTGGTTTACGCCAACTTCATGTCTGGCGTATGTGCATTTCTTGTGTGCGTCTGTTTTATTTCCATTGCCATAGCTTTTTCGTTGGGTTTTGCCAAAGTAGAGTCATTAGCATATTCATATGGGGGAGGAGGCAGGGAAGGGTTTTGTGCTCGTGCAAGTTGCACTCAGTTTCACGTTCGTTCGGATGTACAAAGAGAATATGCGTGTGATTCGGCGTACGCAGTCTTTCATACGTCTGAATTTTTTACTGTGTACGCACATTTACAGCTTTGTGCGTTTGCAATGTTTTAGTATGATTTCAACACAAGTCTTCGTACATGAGGCACCAGGGGCCTCATGTATCAACGCTGCGTACGCACAAAAACTTTGCGTACGCCAGGTTTCACGCTCAGAATCGCTCACGTTTGGATTTACTAACAATGAACTGAACGTGGGAATGTGCGCAACTTCACGGCAGCTTTCTGGCAGGCGTACGCACATTTTTTGTGCGTGTCTGTTTTATTTCCATTGGCGACTCCTAGAGGCAGTTGTGTTAAATTGCTCTCTACAAAGTGTCTGAGCCTTGCAATGGCAGCTGTATGAGACGGGTTCAGCAGGTATATAAGGTTTCCATACCATACAGTTGACCAGCTAAACATTAAAGCACAATTTGCAGCGGTCGCCTGTTTTCCCAATGTAATCTGAGCGATCTACCGCACGCACATTGCTATAAAGACACTATCTGAAGATGAATTTGCATGCGTGAATCAGTAACATTTCCATTCAATAAATGTGCAAATAAAATATGATGCACAAACTTATTAATGATTCCTACTAGTCTTTCTCGTGATAAATAGTAGGCAAAATCTGATATGTAGCGGGGGAAAAAAAGAAGAAAGAGTTCATCAGACGCTGGATTCGAGCCGAGTTCATGCTCGAACGTGTCAAAACATGTTCACATGTGTCTTACGAGCGCGCCACTGAGACTGTTCAGAGTGCTGCAACATTTTACAGATATAATAATATTGAATGGAAATGTTACTGATTCACGCATGCAAATTCATCTTCAGATAGTGTCTTTATAGC